CATCATCATCATCATCAACATCATCATCATCATCATCATTACCATCAACCTCATATCAATACCGTCATCATTACCATCAACATCATCATCAGCATCATCATCGTCGTCAACTTCATCACAATCACCAGCACCAGCACCATCCCCACCCTCTTCACCCTCCTCACCCTCATCATCATCATCATCATCATCACCATCATCATCATCATCAGCATCATCATCAGCAGCAACATCATAGTCAGTATTATCAGCATCCACATCATCAGCATCAGCATCAGCATCAACAGCAACAACATCAGTATCATGATCATGCTGACGATGATCATCATCATCATCATCATCATCATCATCATCACCATTACCATTACATCATTACGATCATCATCATCACCGTCATCAGCATCATCTTTGTCGTCGTCATCAGCATCATCACCGTCATCATCATGATCACCATTACCATCACCATCACCACCACCACCACCGCCATCACCAGCACCATCACCGTCCTCTTCACCCTCCTCATCCTCATCATCATCAGGAACTTCATAATCAGTATTATCATCATCATCATCTTCGTCGTCAGCATCAGTATCATCATCATCATCAACACCAGCATCAGCAGTATGATCATGACCATCATCATCATCGTCATCACCAACAGGAGCAATATCGGCATCATCGGCATCCTTGGCATCATCGTCATCGTCGTCACGATCGTCAGCATCGTCATCATCGTCACCACCATCAGCATCATCCTCATCATCATCATCATCATCAGCATTAACATCAGCATCTCCAGCAACATCATCATCACCACCACCATCATCACCATCATGACCACCATTATCACACTCCCCATCCTCCTCGTCATCCTCGTCCTCATCCTCATCACGGCTCTCCCACCGGGTAAGAAGGAGGTATGGTGAAGGGCAAAGCGTTGAAGATGCCATGGGTATGGGTGCGAGTTGTCGGACTCCGAGGGGAGCTCCCCTTCGAGCGGGGGCCCCCATCCGACAACAAACCCATAGCCTCCCCCCAGAATTCCACCCCGAGAAATCTGGGGGCCGCCTAGGGTTGGGTGCTGGTTGTCAACTCATGATCTCAAGGGACGAAGAAATACAGAAGCCCCTACGCTTCCCTCGTTTTAGCGATAGTGGGCCTCCTGGCAAGCCCTCGACGCCACGGCTGGTTTCACATCAACAGTCGGGTTAGAGCGCACCCTGGGAGAGGCCCAGGGAATGGCGGTATCGGAGCCTTCTGGTTTCCCGGAAAAACTCTTCCAACCGGCGGCTGTTCATCGATTCGGGGCTCTGGTGCCCGTCATCGGGGCCCAGGGCCGTCAGACATGGATCTCGGGCGACAATCTTGCCTCGGGGAAGGGGCAGGGGCATCTGTGGCCGCGGCTCGAACAGCATCAGATCGGCGAAGTTCAGGGGCGCGGAAGAGTCAACTCACTCCTGAAAGGTCTTGGAAGGAACGAATCAAAACTTCTAGGGTGGGATTGCGGCGGTGCGGTGGGCACATTTTGCTTGGCGTGTCGCGGCGGCGTCCACGGCGACACGCCATGCCGTGCAAGCTGATAGCGTGTCGCTCCGCTCCGCGGGAGGGAGGCCGGGAAAATACTCGGGACGTTGACGCTCGGGGACTGGGACGTGGCCAGCGTGTCGCGACCAAGGGTGGTGCGCCAGAGCCGGGGAGCGCGACACGCTGAGCATCGTTTCTTGACTGTATGCCTGACTCAAACTAGATGTTGGTTTGACTGTGTTGGCGACGAAACGAAAACGGGGCCGATGCAGAGCTTCCTCCCAAAAGAGTCGCGTGCCCGACATTCTTGTTTTCGACACAGCCGTGGCCGCGAGTGCGCCCGAGGGGGCGAACCAGCGTCGATCTTGGGGCCGAGGAGAAGGCGAGGCCAGGCGAAGGCCTAAGGATCTGCGTGAGGCTGGTCAAAAGGGCCCAAAGACGCTCGGGCACCTCGAACATCGAACATCCTTGGCCTCGTCTCTGTCGCCAGCACCGCATGCGGGAACCCTCCCCCTAGGCCGGGCATGCTCCCCCTACAGGCGGATGTTGGGAAGAAGAGGAAAGCACAGTCGAAAAACACTCAGAGATACTAGAAAAAAACGGAAGCATCGTCCCCAGACTATCCTTTCCACTCCCCCCGAATCGCCCCCCTGCAGGGCGACATGCCCGCCTCGAAAAATACTCACAGATATGAGACAACACAGAAGCATCGTCCCCAGACCATCCTTTCTGCTCCCCCCCGAATCGCCCCCCCCCCTGCAGGGGACGACGTGCCCGCCTCAGACCTGACGGCCCCCCCCTGGCTCAGACATCAGCTCTGCCTCAGACCGCCTCCTGGCTCAGACCCCGACATGCCCGCCTCAGACCCTGCAGGGGACGACATGCCCGCCTCAGACCTCAGCTCTGCTGGCGGCGAGCGCCGAGGCGCCTCCTCCTCCTGGGGCGTCGGGCGCACAAAAGACACGAGGTCCAGCAGCTCCTGGGCCGGCGGTCGCCCGGCCGCCTCTCCCGCTCCTCCCCGCCCTCCTCGAGGCGGCGAGCGAAGGGGGGGGGGGGGGGGGGAGGAGGGGGAAGGAGGAGGAGGAGGAGGAGGAGGAGGAGGGGAGGAGGAGGAGGAAGGAGGAGAGGAGGAGGAGGAGGAGGAGGAGGAGGAAGAGGAGAGGAGGGAGGAGGAGTGAGGGAGGAGGAGGGGGAGGAGGAGGAGGAAGGGAGGAGAAGGGGAGGAGGAGGAGGAGGAGGAGGAGGGGAGGAGGAGGAGGAGGAGGGAGGGATGAGGAGAAGGAGGAGGGAGGAGGAGGAGTGAGGAGGAGGGGGGAGGAGGAGGAGGAGGGAGAGGAGGAGGAGGGAGGAGGAGGGAGGAGAGGAGGAGGAGGAGGAGGAGGAGGAGGAGGAGGAGGAGGAGGAGGGAGGAGGAGAGGAGGAGGAGGAGGAGGAGGAGGAGGAGGAGAGGAGGAGGAGGAGGGGGCGGAGGAGGATGCGCACGCATCTGCGCGGGCTGTCGGCCGCGCAGGCGCCCGCCGCGCGGGCGCGGCCTCCTCGGAGGACCGCCACGACCTCGCCGAGGTGCACCGCGACGAAGTCAGCACTGCAGCCGCAGTGGCCGCCGCCGAGGGCGCGCGCGGGGATGTGGGGCCTCCTCCCCCCGCGCGCGCCTCAGGGCAGCGGCCCGTCCAGGCCGCCGCCGACGCGCTCCGCGTCGTCGTCCACGACGCTGTGGTCGTCGAGCTGCACGAACTTGACGGCCGCACGGCCTGCGGCGCCTGGCGCGAAGCCCTTGGTGAGCCGAGCAATCGCCAGCTTGCCCTTTGCTCCGGGCTCCCCGCAGGCACGGGCGAAGGACGAGCTCCTCGCCGCACCTGTGGCTCCGCAGACGAGGCAGGCCAGCAGCGGCATCTCACGTTGCAGCTGGGCCTCGACCTGCGGCTCGATCTTCGCGATCACGTGCGCCAGCGCGCCCTGGGCCCGCAGCTTCCTATTGTGGTCCAGGGCGGACGTCACAATCGAGCCTGGGCACTCGCTGGCGCGCCCCAGCCAGCGGCACCTGCTGCGCCATCTCGCCCCAGGCGGCCCACGGAGGTCGCAGCCTAGCCTGACAGCCGCTGGCTGCAACGCTGCTCGCGGGGCCGCCTTGTTGGGCTTCGCCGCGCGGTGGGCGGTGTCGTCCCCGCCCACGGCTGCCCCAACAGCTGAGGCCCACATGGCCACGCCCTCGACCAGCTCCCGTGCCGACTGCAGGCGTTGTCGGCCCTCGGGCGCAATCCTCGCGCGCTCGGCCGCGCACTTCGCGGCCTGGTCAGCGATGCAGTTGCCGATCCAGTCGCGGGCGGTGATGACGCCGTCGTCGGTCACTCGGCGTCGCGGGACACGCGCAGGGACCTTCTCGAGGGTCAGGCCACGCGGCCCTATCCCCCCGAAGTCCTCGACAAGCCGCCAGAGCTCGCGCCAGAGGTGGGCCCAAGCGTAGCCCCAGCGCGTCGTGAGCAGCGGCCCGTGCTCCAGCACACCCTTGAACACGAAGTCGGAGTCGACGATGGCCCTGGCGGACGGCCTGGCATGGCGCAGCGTGCCGATGAGCGCGGCCAGCTCGCCGCCGTTGATGTCGGCGAAGGGCTCGCACAGCGTGCCCGAGATGCCAGCGCGGAAGGCGTCCGCGTCCTCCTGCAGCACCACCGCAGCCCAGCCGACACTTGTGCACTGCTGGAAGTCGCCCTCGTAGGCGGAGCCGTCCAGGTACACGCCGCCCGACTGCAGCATGCCGCCTACGTCTTGGCCCAGCCAGCTGAGCCCAGGAGGCCGAGGCGGCCTGATGATGCCGCGGGGCGCAGGCCACAGCACGTGCCCCAGCAGGCACTCCACATCCACGAGCTCAGCCGTGCCCGCCATCTCACGGATCTTGCTGGGCAGCCGCAGCTCGGGCGGCCATCCACTGCAGCACGTGTGCCTGTGCAGCAGCGTGCCAACGTCGCCGCACAGCAAGCACTTGTCGTCCGGGGCGTAGCCGCCCAGGTACTTGCGGCGCTGCGACCACTGGCCATCCACGATGACCGAGGCGAGGTAGCCACACTCCTTGGGCGCAAGACGGATCGCCTTGGCGATCTGAGCAGGCTTCGCACCAGCGGCAGCGGGTGTGGGTCCCGTAGCTCCTCGAGGCGCGCCACTCGGGGGAGTAGCGCCATTAAGGGCAGCATCCGCCAGCCCACCCTGAGGAGCCGTCGACGCACCTTGCCGTGGAGGTACGAGGCTTGGGCAGGCACCAGCTCCAGCGTCTCCAGCAGGCAGCCCAGGTGCGAGCGGTGCTCCGCCTTCTGGGCCTGGCCGCGGCGGGGGGTCAGGCGCCACCTGGCCGAGCAGGTCGTTGATGAGGTCACCCCATCCGTCTCCAGCTTCAGCGCGCGCAGCTTGTAGAGTGGCGGCGCTAGCCTCCACCGCGGCCAGGTAGCCAGGCCCGAGCACGCTGGCCAGAGCTGGGCCTGACAGGCCGCCCGCAGCAGAGCCAGCCACAACACCATGCCGCGCGACGCCGCCACGAGTTGCCTCCTCTCCCGACGGCAGCGCCGCGACCTCAGGAGGCACAGCAGGTCGACCGACAGGCCGAGGAGCGGCGGCGCCAGCGTCACCGTCGACGTAGTTCACCTGTCGGCCGAAGAAGCCCTTGCGCTGCACCGCCCCCGCGTTGGTGAGCCTGACGATGGGCTCAAGGATGCCCCCATCAGCCAGATGGGCGAGCCCAGGCCGCTGCCCAACTTGTCGCCACTGCCAAGCCTCCACCGCCACCCAGAGCAGGCGCTTGACGACCCAGGGCGAGGTCTCGAACATGCATACGCTGTCACCGCAGTGCGTGAGCCAGGTGCTGCCGTCAACAATATGCCAGCCCACGCGCTCTAGGGATAGCCTGACCGCGGAGAAGGGCCCCTTCACCTGGCACCAGCTAGTGGCCGCACACTGGGCCAGGCCATACTTGAGCACATGCTTCGGCACCCAGCGCTCCCATACCGCGCGCAGTATCGCCATCACTGGGGCCAGCGTCGCGCGGTAGACAGGGTCGAGGAAGGGCGTGAGCATGAGCGTGAGGGTCCGCGACCGCCCCGCCACGCTCGGCGCCACGGCCGTGAAGATGAGCGTGCGCAGCTTGTCGAGCTCCGTGGTGGCGCAGCCCGTGACGGAGAAGCCGTAGGAGACGGACGCCTCGAGCCCGCTGCGCGCCACCTTGCGGACAGCCAGCTTGCGCCCGACTCCAGTCTTCAGGATGGCCACGCGCCTGAGCCTCAACCCCGCGAGCACCATCTTGTCGCCGCGGACTTTCCTCACAACCCTGCGGCCGCAAGAGAAGTCGACTCCAAGATTGCGCTCGCCCTTGACCGACACCATGCCGAGCGGCCGCTTGAGCTTCGCAGCGACGGCGTGCCTGACGTCGGGCACGTTGGCGAGCACACGGGACTTGGAGAGCGCCACGTTGAGGTCGACCTCCGTCAAGAGCGTCTTGAGCTTGAAGGCCGCCTCCGCCACCTCCTTCGTGACACGCACTGCGCCGCCGCACCTGTGCAGCATGAGGTCATCCACTACCACCGCCAGCTGCAACGTCGGGTGCTGCTCGACCAGCCTGTCCAGCGGCCCGATCAGCATCGGCTTGAGCAGGGTGGTGGCGAAGCCGTCTCCTGGCATGATCGCCTGCCGAGCCTCGATCACGTCGGAGTGCGCGCTGCCCAGGGCCAGCGCCCTCGGCGCGCAGTACATCCCCACCTGAAGCTTGAGCTGCCACAACGGGAAGCCAGTGCGCACCGCGGCGTCCAGCAACCAGTGGTGCCTGACCTGCTCGAAGGCCTTCAGCAGGTCGAGCAGGGCGGCCGCCGCCACCCAGCGCTTCTCGTCGCCGCAGTCCTGCCCACGCTGCGTGGCACAGCTCGCCAATGGCAGCCTGGTGCCAGACCGCTCGCTCGCAGCTCCGCCCCGCCGAGGCCAACCAGTAGCTGCGCGTATTCTGCATCTCCCATCTGCGTGCGATGTCACGACGCAGCCGAGCTTGCGCACGGGCCAGCACCATGATCAGCGCGATCGGTCTGATCCCACCAAGCCTCTTCTGTATGAAGCAGATCTTGGTGGTCATCTCAGGCCAGGACGCGTGGAGCTCGATCGCCTCGATGATGTCAGCGAGGACCTCGATCCCGTCGTCGCAGAGATCGTTGAGCTGCCTGGGCCGCACCGCGCAGAAGGAAGTGCCCGTGTTGGCGGGGAAAGTCATGAGCACCTTCCGCAGCTGCGCCACCGTCGGCCGAGGCGGCCGCGCGCCAAGGTCCTTCGGCCAGCGCAGCGACACCTGCTCGCATGTTGTCCTCCACCACCCGCTCCAGGCAACCTCCAGTGCAGTGACCTCCGCGGCGAGGCCGGCGGGCTCGCAGAAGGGCGCGTGCGTCTCCGCGGTGCTGGTGCGCAGCATGGGGCTCTCCGCGAAGCCGATCGGCAAGCTAGCCACCGCGTGGGGCCCGCCGCCACCGCCCACAGCTTGCTTGGCGACCCACTGCTGGAACCTGGCCTTGCGCTCCGCCATGTCGCGCTCGGCCAGCTTCGCGGCGGCGGCGTGGGCGCGCTCGCTCAGCTGCAGGACCGTGGTGGACGGGCCCAGGCAGTGAACGCCCAAGCTGTTGAGGAGCTGCCACCAAGAGCTCGCGACAGGCAGGTCGTGAGGCTCAGCCTCCACGACACCCTTCACGGCCTTGGGCGCGGTCACCATCAGCCTGCGCAGACCTCGAAGCGCACGGACACGGCTGACGGGCTGCGCGACGGCGGCGACAAGCTGCAGCTCGCACGACACCCTGTAGAGCCAGGTAGCCTCGACCGAGACGTTGGACCAACGCGCACCAACGACAGGCAGCTTGCGGACCCAGCGCGGCTGCACTGGCTGACCTCGCCCACGATACTTCTGGCCGTCCTCGCCCACCTGGTATATGTCGATCCAGTCGGTCTCGGCCTGCTCCAGGAACC